CCTAGATCCTTTAACAACAAAGTCAATGTAAAATGACAGAACATGATGGTGATCACAGATGTCTACAGATATGCACAAGGGTGTTAATTTCATTTTCATTTCGTGTTTTCATTTTATTTTCCTCAAGATGATATGTAGGGGTTTGGATTTAAAGGGGCTCACCGGTTTTTGAAAAGCAGCAATCTGAAGTCTGAACTGCAGGATGACGATGATGCCTGCGCAGTATGGAGTAAAGTGTGATGCAGACTTCTTGTTTTATGTCCATTACACTGAGGTATTTTTATCATATTGGAACTAAAATGCCACCCTCCAGTCTGGAGTTATATAGCCAGTTTTTGAGCAGGTGATGTTTGTTTATATAGGCTGTAGGTTGCATTCTGACAATACTTTGAAGACCTCGTTTTTTATCACATACTGTATTGATTACTGTATGTGCGTCTGCTCCCACTGTACCCGATGAATTTAAAGTTTCTTTGTGACATGTTATTCTACAACCGGACTGACATGTGGGAAGAAACAAAATAAAGATTCTTACTATCCCTTACTAGTCTTCCAAGCTTGGGAGCCCAACACGAACCTCAACTAGTGTTCAGATGTTCAGATCACTTTATTGGCCATATACAATTTCTTGCATTAGGAATTTGTCTTTTCACAGACCCCAGCTTGCTCTACATGAGACACACATGCACACAGACCGGAAGAGAGAAGCTTGGGGTCAGAGCAGAGGATCAGCTATTATACGGCACCCCTGGAGCAGTTGGGGTTCAGGGCCTTGCTCAGGGGCCCAACGGAGTAGGATTCCTCTGCCAGCTGTGGGATATGAACCAGCAACCTTCCAGCCACAGGCGCAGATCCTTAGCCACACTAACCATTACAAATATACAGTATACTGCAGGTATGTTGTCCTTGTCAATGTGCATGATGCTGTTTGCGGAAATATACTGCATTGTGAACTGCAGTAGTGTGGCCTGTGAGGCCTGAAGGCTATAAAACTGAGCACAAAACATACAGACATCGCCTGTGTTTCTCTTTATTATTGCACCAGGAAAGAAGACAAAGGCACACGACACAGTGCGGCCAGACCCCCTGAACAGGGGGAGCTCTGAATATTATTTTTTCTCGCTCCTGCGCAAGGGGGCAGGTACAGTAAATAAGCCATGGCCGTCACCTCTTCCGTCCTCCTGTTCATCCAGTACAGGGCGGCTCGAGACCGGAAGCTCTCAGTGAGGAGCGCGAGCAGGGCAGCGGTTACAAAGTCTCTCGAGACCCTGAAACTAACCGGCTCCTCTCGACGTTTATTTATTTACAGGTCGGTCAGGTTTGATTCGGCGTAAATAACATTTGATTTGTTGTAATAATATGGAAGTGCGCCGTGCTACTCACATTCCTTGTACCGTACAGTATGCGATGTTTCAGAGTTTCTTTAATGTTAGGAAAAATGTGCAAAAGTCCCGTCCTTCTGTAACGGCGCAGTTTGATTTGTGCGTGTTAACTTTTTGTTTCAGTTACAAATACAAAGACTTTGCGTTGGAAGATGTAATTTTATGTATTATGTTTAGTTCATTCGTTACTATTCATATTAATACCTTATCTTGTTTTTTTTTATATAAGCCACACTCTTAAGTTTAGAATTAGCACAGGTGCACGAAAGCGCCGAAACTAACCGTCTCCTCCCGGTATGCTTTTTCTATTTATTTATCTCAGTTATTTAGAGTGACGGCTATCACACACCTCTGCCACTGT